CTGCGCAGCAGCAGCATCAGCAGCAGCAGCAGCTGCTGCTGCTGCTGCTGCACGCAGCTCGCGTACCTGGGGGACAAGGGTAGCTTGTAGCTGCTGCACCTCTTCAAGCGAATGCAGCGTAATGCTGTAGCTAGCTGCAATATATCTATAGCTAGCTGCCTCATCTGCTGAAGCCAGAGACAAACAGATGCCCCAACTACCGAAACGACCTGCGCGGCCCCCGCGGTGTAAGAAGGTCTCCTTATCCTGAGCAGCAAACAGCAGCAGCAGCAGCAGCAGCAGCAGTTAATGGCTGCAGCAAGCACCGAAAGTAACAGCAGCAGCAGCAGCAGTTGACGGAAGCAGCAAGGCACAAAAACAACAGCAGCAGCAGCCGTGGACGGGAGCAGCAAGCAACGAAAGCAGCAGCAGCAGCAGCAGTTGACGGCAGCAGCAAGCAGCAGAAGCACCAGCAACAGAAGCAGCAGTAGCAACAGCCTCCACTCAGGAAAACTACAGCAGCACATGCAGCAGCAGCAGCAAACAACGAAGGCAGATATAGAAAGGGCACCAGCCCTCAGCAACAGCAAACCAGAAGCAGCAAAAGCAGCAAAACAGCAGCAGCAAAAATCACAGCAGCAGCAGCCAGACGGTAACTGCAACAATAACAGCAGCAGCAGCAGCAGCAGCAGCAGCAGCAGCAGCAGCAGCAGCAGCAGCAGCAGGGGAATGCGCCTGCTGCTAACCATGGGCAAGTTGAAGTTTATAACAAAATCGACGCCGACCGCATCGATGCCACGGCTCATCTGGACGCAAACCCTAAACCCTAAACCCTAAACCCTAAACCCTTAACCGTAAACCCTTAACCCTAGCGTTCTGCTCTCCTCCAGGGAAGTGAAGGGAGGTGAATGAAGCTAGCATCCGCCTGAGCCTAAACCCTAAACCCTAAACCCTAAACCCTCACCAGATCTGAGCAAACCATCACTCTGCACTCAAATTTCTTCAAAGCAGCGACGCGTTTATCCCTTTCGCTTTGAGGCAAACGCCCACTGAACAGCAAGCACAACCTCAAGGGTTTAGGGTTTAGGGTTTAGGGTTTATTACTGAAGCGCTGGCCACACAGCAAAACCCTAAACCCTAAACCCTAAGATCTCTTTTATATTCACCTGGTGTACACAGCGCTAATGCCGAGGCGCCGCAGGCTCTGTGCGACATGTGTCCCCCTGCAGCAAAGACAGCCTGCAAAACCCTAAACCCTAAACCCTAAACCCTAACCCCCAACCCTAAACTGTCTCCGTGTGAATACTGCGGCTTGAAAGTCTTAAGAAGCTACTCCCACAAAGTGAAACAGCTTCATTTGCGTTCTGGTATTTAGGGTTTAGGGTTTAGGGTTTAGGGTTTAGGCCCCAGGCGTGAGTTTCTTGTGTTCGGGCTACAAGATTTAGGGTTTAGGGTTTAGGAGATGCGGTGTGCAAACCCTAAAACCCTAAACCCTAAACCCTAAACAACAACATAAGGGCCAAGGGTTGGGAAAGAACGATGAGGTTCATGGCAACTAGGGTTTAGGGTTTAGGGTTTAGGGTTTACGGCGAGTAGGGTTTAGGGTTAAGGGTTTATCGTGATTAGGGTTTGGAGTTATCGGCGACAAGGGTTTAGGGTTATTGTCGTCTAGGGTTTATGATATATGGAGATTAGGGTTTAGGGTTTACGGGGGCCAGGGTTTGAAGCCTCAATGGCTGCAAGGGATTAATTAGGGTTTTTATGGTGATTAGGGTTTAGGGTTTAGGGTTTACACGACGGGTTCATTTACGAAGATAACTGCCTGTCTAAAGTATATGCGGCTCATCGCATGCAGCAGCATTTGCAGCTTCAGCCCCAAAGTGCGCAGCCCTGAGTCTCCCATGGGCACCTCCATCAAACCGTATATTATCCCTGCAGCAGCAGCAGCAGCAGCAGCAAGAGACGCAGCAGCAGATGCAGCAGCAGCAAGTAGTCACGCAGATCAAACTGCCGAGTCGGGTGCAGCAGCAACAAAACCACTCGCAGTACTACGACAAGCAGCAGCAGCAGCAGCAACAGCAGCAACAACAGCATCAGCAGCAGTAGCATCACCAGCAGCAACAGCAGCAGCAGCAGCAGCAAGAGACGCAGCAGCAACAGCAGCAGCAGCAAACCTGTGAGGACCGGCGGAGGCAGCGCCATATCTGCGATGCGTTGCTGCTGCAGCCGCTGCAGCTGCATGCGTGTCTCTAATAGTGCTGCTTCTGCTTCAGGTGTACCGGGAGGAGGGAGATCCTCAACTCCGTTGCTGCCGTTGCTGCTGTTGCTGCTGTCGCTGCTGCTGCGGCTGCTGCCGTTCTCGTTGTTGCCAGAAGGCCCCCCTACTCCTCCTTCTGAGTTGCTGCTGCTGTTCTTGTTAGTACTGCTGCTTCCACTGCTGCTGCTGCTGCTGCTGCTGCTGCTGCTGCTGCTGCTGTGGGTATCCGGGTTCGGGCTTGGGGCGAAGCGTACCCTGGAGGAGCACAGCAGCAGGCGTTTTAGCTCTCTTGGCTTCGTTTGCTGCTGCTGCTCCTGCTGCTGCTCCTGCTGCTGCTCCTGCTGCTGCTCCTGCTGCTGCTCCTCGCCAGGAGCAGCAGCAGCAGCAGTAGCAGTTGCAACGAGTCTCTCGGACCCCTGCAGCAGCTCCTCTTCTAAATAACGCAGCAGCTGTGGGGCGAATGTAGCAGAATACGCTGTTAGCTGCGCACTCGGTCGCAGCACGCGGTCAAGGATCTCCCTGTACAGACACCCCAGCAGCAGCAGCAGCAGCAGCAGCATCAGCAGCAGCAAAGAGAACGAGGAGCTCTAGAACGGAAAGGGGGACTTAATACGTTAAGTCGAGATGACATGAAGGCCAACAACAGCAGCAGCAGCAGCAGCAATAGCAACAGCAGCAACAGCAGGTCTAGAGACACGAAGAAGAGCCGCGTTACGACAAACACGCAGCAGCAACAGCCAGCAGCAACAGCAACAAGCAGCAGCAGCAGCAGCAGCAAGCAGCAGCAGCACGGACTTGGTTTGTGCCCTGAAGAAGGTGTCTAGCAGCAAGTCGGCCTCATCGAGGATCACCAGGCGTAGCTGCTGCTGCAGCTGCTGCTGCAGTGGCACGGTGCTGCAGGTGCAGACAGCAGCAGCAGCTGCTGCTGCTGCTTTCGCGCTTGCAGCAAACAATGCAGTACTTTCTGCTTTGGTTTGTGCTTCAGCAGCAGCAGCAGCAAGATTATCCTCTTCTGCTGCATCCGTCGGTCCCCCAGTTCTCTGTGCTGCTGCTTCCGCTGCTGCTTCTGCTGCTGCTGCTGCTGCTGCTGCTGCTGACTCTGCTGAAGCCTTTGCTGCTTCTGCTACCCACTGCGAATGCGCGCAGATGCACCGCACGCGCCGCCGCTGCCTCCGGTAGTTCAGCAGCAGCAGCAGCCGTCCTGCAGCAGCAGCAGCAACAGCAATAACAGCAGTGTGGTGGTGTTTAGTAGGGGGAACGCTGCCTCTAAGGCGACAGTGCAACTTGGCTAGGGTTTAGGGCTTAGGGTTTAGGGTTTACCGGGTGTAGCGACAATAATCTGAGGCCTTTTAGATAACTCCTTGATGGAGACGCTCGTCGGCACCCCTCCAAGTAAGCAGCAAACGCATACAGGCTGCAGCAGCAGAAACAGCAGCAGCAGCAGCAGCAGAAGCGAGCAGTAGACGGTCTAGGGTTTACGATTTGCTTAGATATGGGCCCCCAAGCCTTGCATTTCATTGCATATTTAGGGTTTAGGGTCTAGGGTTTGTGGTTTAGGGTTTACGATTTGTTTGATGTGGGCGCCTAGGCTTTGGATTTCACTG